CCCAAACTTCATTCTCTTATATTAAAAAAAAGAAGAAGTTCAAATTGCTACAAAATGAAAAAATAAATATGTTGAGGGAGAAGAGGAGTATATATTATATAGAGTGTGTGATAAGTGAAAAAAAAAGGTAGACAATGGGGTTGATTTGTAACAAGTAAAAAGAATATTTAGAAGCATATGCTTGGCGTGTTGAATGACAATTTTTTTTAAAAAAAATTAATTAAGTGAAAGTGAAATTAAAAGGGGTAGCTGAAGTAAGAGAATTCTAAGCATATTCGTAAATGACTTTATTTTATTTTCAACACTAATTAATAATGTGAGTGTCATTTCTCACATGGCAGTGATATTAAAAGAACAAATCATAGCCGTTGAATAGGTAAGTGAACTAACGTGGCAAAGATCGAATCATGGCTGTGAGTCTGTGACTGTTAGATTAGCAGTAGCATTATGTAATTAAGAATTGGAGAAATGGATGATCCTTTGGAATCTACCATAAAGAAAGAGAAAACCAAAGGATTTGGGAATATGTCTTTTCTTGGGTTTTATTGCTCTCTCAACCTAATATACTTTACTTGTTCATTATACTAAAAATAATTATTTAATATTTTATCCGTTTATAATTATTTCTTTACTTTTTCCTTTTATAGTTATCTCTAATACAAAGCAAGAATGGACAAATTTTTAATCTATTATTTGAAAATGTAAAACTTTTCATCCACTTTATAATTAATAGGAATAAAATGATAAACTCATTGTGTCATTAATTATTTTCTTAATAAATATGTCAATTCAAAAGTGAACAAGTAAAAAAGGCCAGGAGAATAATATTTGTCTAGTTTGAAAAACTAAGATATAATTTATTTAATGTCTATTTTACCTTGAAAGTTAAATACGTATCCAACATCTACATATTTCAAATCATTGAATTCAACATATTCAAAGGGTAATATTGTCATATTACTATATTATTTATTGTTTCATAATCATTATATCAAATTAATAATAAATAGTTATTATTAGACGGAGAAAGTTTTCGTATTAATAATAAATAATTATTATAAGATGGAGAAAGTTTTCGTGGAGTGTACTTGTATATTGTTCAAACCTTTTGGGGCTATAATTTGATTGGAGTGACTTTTTCTGGCCTTCAAGTTCAAGAATTGAACAGCTTAAACAAAGACTTGTCTCATACCCTAGCAGTAGTAGACATGTAGTTATATCAATTTGTACTATTACTGAGAAAGGGCATGTCTTGCAGAGAGTCTTTTCTTTCTTAAATAAATTTTATAACATGTGATTCTTAATTAATTGAATTTCAAATATAAAATGGTTATAAAATAAAATAAGAAGTTAGACTAATAGTTATACTATCGATATTTCTAATTACTTGTTCACTTTTAAAATGACACACGTATTAAGAAAATAATAATTGTCATAGTGAGTTTATCATTTTATGCTTATTAATTATGAAGTGAAGGATTTTAAAATTTAAAATTTTAAAATAATTAATTGATAATATAATATATAAAAATAAATAAATTGTAGTTTCTTAATTAGTTAAAATAAATAATAATAAAAAAATCGGACAAGTGTAATTAGGGACTAATTTGTCCACCCACAAAGGAAAATATTGAAAATCAAAATCAGATAATTAGGTTGGATTAGTGACCTTTTTTTTTCTTAAAGTAATTTTTTTTAATTTAGAAAGTCAAGATGTTTGATGAAATTCATAGAGAAAGTAGTGATATTAAACGACAACAAAAGTGTAAAAGTGATTACTCTTTAACATAAGCTATGTTTTTAATTGTTCAAGACAAAATTATCATTATAAATCCTAATAGCCATTTCAAATAATTTATCTATTTAATTAATCCTAAAACAATAATGGAAATTTTTACGCACATTTAACACTCAAAATTATGTTCGAAAATATTGTCCCAAAATTAGTCATATCCAATATGCTTTTATTGAAAAAATATTGTCCCAGAACATCTTCGAATGGCACATCTATTAGCAGCGGTAAGCTTGCCGCCGGTGACATTTCGGCCGGCCAGGAACTCTCCGCGATTAACTACAAAAACTCTGGCAATAAGAGCAGTATCGGTTGAGGAAATTCCCCCAAATGCGGTTCGACGGAAGCTCGATTCAACATGGAGAGGAGGTTTTAGTCTTGGGGTGGATTTGGGGCTTGCCCGTACTGGACTCGCCCTTAGTAAAGGCTTCAACTTTCGACCCTTAACGGTAACCCAATTTCATCCGCAAAGCTCTCATACACCCACATTCATATACTGGAACTTTGATTTGGTGGATTTTAGGTTTTGGAGTTGAGAGGACAGAAGCTTGAACTTCGAATTATTGATATTGCCCAAAAACAGGTATACAGCTTCTTTGTGTTTGATGTATAAAGATTTAATTTTTATAGTTATTTATTAGCTGGTTATTTGATGTGATTCTTCTTGAATATGATTTAGTTACTCTTTTCATTTTATTTTTGTTAAGAATTAAATTGATAGTACAGTATCTGGAGTTTCATGAGTATGGTTTTGTTGGGAGGTTAGGAAGTGGATGAGTTTATAATTGGACTCCCTTTGTCAAGTGATGGAAAAGAAACTCCACAATCGAACAAAGTTCGGAGTGTTGCTGGTAGGCTTGCTGTTCGCGCTGCTGAGAGGTATTAATTATTTAGCACTTTTAGTCTGTAATCGTTTTCTTTGTATAATCGGGCTAAATAATCAAAACAAAAAAAACGAGTAGAAATTGCAGGCTAAACGGATGAGACTATCTCTTTTCTGTTGGTTGATCTGAATTGACAATGTGAGCCAATTTCAACATGCTGGTTTTAGAGTGATCAAGTTGGTTGTGAGAAGTATGCTGTGATGTTGCATTCTATACCTGAGTAGCTTCAAATGCTAGCGACATTGCATATTTGTCAAATTTGACAACGGTCGTCCTCTCGTAAATAATAGAGGATAGATGTTCGACTCATCTGTGAAGAGATTGTTAGATGAGATAGTTTAAGTCATTAAAACTGCAAGAAGGTATCGTGCAACATGAAGCACTCACTTGAACTAGAAATCTTGTCCTTCCTTGAAGCTTAGTACATGTGTCTTTAAGTCTAATGAAAAACGGACAGATCAATAGTTGGAATTCTATTGGTTGAACTATCTAGAACATGTTTACTTGCTATGCTTTACTAACCAAAACTGATGTGATTATTACACACTAGGACTACTAGTTGACTTCCTATTTTTAGAAACCTTTGAGCTAGTATGCTTTGGTTTTACATTCTTTTTATAGGTTGGTTTTACAAATTATTGACACTAAGCTCATCTTGTAGTTCACTAGTCATTCTCACGTGACATGTTTATATTCATTTTCTAAGTGGTGAGGGACGTCATCTTAAACGTCGATTCTGTCCTTTTAGGGGATGGAGAGTATATCTGCAGGAAGAGTACGGGACAACAATTGACGCAATGAGCTACATGGTTGATAGGTAATAAGTTCTTCCGACTTATTCCTTTTTTTATTGAATCAGTTGTGGGGAAGCTCTTTCATTCCATCAACGGCCAATTCTCTCTTACATGAGGAAATATCTAGATCTGCAAGGAGGAACCATAATCTCATTTGGATATCGATGAAGTTTGTCTACCTCTCTTGCTAATAAATTGATTGTCAAGTGTATATGAGAAGGGAGGGTATCCTTTGAACAGTCTGTTACAACTTGCAAGAAATTATCCGTAAGTGGCAGAAACATCTATAAGTAGTAGATCTTATCACTTTTTCTCCCATTATAAGCAAAATAAAGATTAACTAGTTAAGAGCTAGAATGAAGATCATTAGACCACAGTACTAATCCTAGCAGATGGAAAAAAACTATGAGATTTTTTCTCATATTGTGCTGGTGAGAGGATGCAAGTGATCGATGGAACCATGATAGCATGCTAGTCCCATGGGGTTGATCAGTTAATATATTAAATCTAACTTACCTCAGATATTATATTGCCAATATGAGCAAATTCAGAAGCCTTGCATTTGTTCTAATATTGTAATTGAAGTGTCTCGATGAAATTGGCATAAATACATTGTTAGATAAGGTTCGTGATGGGGCATACTAGACGAAGATATATTTCTTTCGACATCAGAATATTATAAAAATAAAATTCTAAATGAACCGCACAACTATTTTTAGGGGCCTCGGAAAATCTGCTCGTGAAGGGAAACAGGACGCCTACGCTGCTGCTGTATGCATTCAGTTCAATTCATTGTCTTTTATCTACTTCTCCTGTACATTTTTTTTCAGAGAGACTGCAAATAGTAACTTCTGATTAAGAACTGAGCTTTATTATATAATTGCAGATGGTGCTTGAGAGGTACTTTTTAGAGGCAGGTCGGAGAATCGAGCTAGTGTTACCCAAGCAGTTAGATCTCCAAGAGAGGCTAAAGAAGGGGTGTTCTAAGGATGCTGATTATTCTACAGATGAATCTGATTAGTTGAATAATTTGCAATGCTTACAGGAACCCCTCCCAAAGCTTCCTAGTTGCAGGAAAGATGGTTGAGTCGATCAACAGAGTTATTGTGACAGCTCTAGCCACTTGAAAAGTACTTATACCTTTAGAAGACATGGATGGTTTACCCTATTACATATTTTTAATGTATCATGGTCCTGTATGTCAAGTTCAACAGGAAAAGCACTCATGTATCTTGTTCGAGGAAAAGCCGTAGGGATGGTAATGAATGTGATAGACACTGTACACGGTGAACTTATGAAATAACCTGTTTGTTGGGCTTGCTGATTCCTCAAATTTGCTACTGCTGCTACATTTTTGCAAAATTCATGCATAGAAAGGGGTGTAAGCTATGTTGTTTGGAGTCTTCAAGAATACAACTAGGCGTGTGTCAGATCCTTCAAAAGCTATGCATGTTTGGAGGATCCGAGCAACATAAGTTGTGAGTGTAAAGACATGAGTTGTGCTCAAACAATAAGATAAAAACAGTTTCATTATAAGAGTCTCTTTGGGGTGTTAACATTGTCCTCGTAGCTATTGGAAAACAAATCCCTGCATAGCTCTCCATAGAACCTGCTCACCAGTTCAATAAAGACGGGGCTTTTGAGATTCTTCCAACAGTATAACAACTCTTCCACATCTGCCAAATCCCTCATTTTCCCCTCTTCCACAATCGTTTCCACCAGATAATTCTCAAAGCTCCTGCATGCATCTTCCGCATTGTCCAGAACTGGCACATCTTTTCTAGTTGCTGCACTCAATCTCACGTAAGCAGGGGTGAGAGGTGATGGAAATGGTGCTTTGTTGTGAAGTTCCACTTCTGAGAAACTCTTGAGCTCCATGACTTGGTCCTCCTCTCTCTCTACTCTTCTTAGCCGTTCAGTCTTATGTACTGAACGGCGAAACTTAAGTCTTCTTATAAAGAGGGGCTTTCTGAGTCTGAACTTGAACAACCTTGCTATTTTCTTGCATGGATTGAAAAGCTTGCATTTGAAGCGACCAAACACTTTCACTTTCATTGTTGGAACCTTTATTTGTTGAGGAAAAGAGTAGTGATAAAGCAACAAACTTGGGAAATGATTGTTTTCAGGTTTATCTTTCTTTTAGTTTGGAAATGACAGGAGAGTTGTTGATTTTCTGAGACAAAATGTTAGTTTGTTGGAAGGTTGGTGGAAGGGTTGCCCCTTTTTCTAAGGTTGGGAAAATGATGACTTGTGGAAGACGCCGTTTCATATTAAACGAAAAGTGGTATGCATGAAAGAAATATCTTCAAAACTTTGGAGTTTATAAAATTCCTGTAAGGATTAATAAATCAACACAATGTACCTATTCGATTCTTGGAATGACCAGATTATTTTTTTTATAATTCTTGATCCGTGCTGTTGAATCATTCAAAAGGAATAAGTAAATAAAGGATAAGAAAAATATTAGGAAATTAAGCACAAGGTGACTGAGAAAAGAAATGTACATCATGTGTGCACAAAATATAAGATGAACATTGCGTAAAGATAATCCAATTGTTATTTCATACAACACAACAAAATACAACGACAACTATGCCTCTATGTCAAACCAATTGAGATCGATTACATAAATCTTCTACGTTGACTCCATTCTAGTTGGACACATTTCAGTCCAAGAGTTTACCTTTAAGCACCGGCTCAGCTTAATTGTTATTGCAACTGCATCGCCAGAGTGAAAAATCACTTCAGATCATTATTATTTGTGATCCTCCCAACTGAAATAAAATGAAACAAAATCAAGAAGTCAAAAATTAGGAAATAGACTCCTAGGGTAGGGGCCTCTGGAGGAGAGAGGAAGGGGAACGTAAACAAAGACAAGTGGAAAAGAATAAACCAGTAAAAGAGAGGATCCTCTACCCTTGGAGCCAGCAGAAAATGCCCAGTTCCCACCCGTAAATTAGAAGTCCAAAAGCTTGCTATTCCTATTAGAAGTGTCCAGAAGCTTGATTTTCCTCAGCCCCTTCCTGACGTAAGGTATCTTCAATCCGAGGATGCTCAGCCTATCAGAAGTAGCTAAAAGCTTGCTTTTCCTATTGACCGTGAGCCTGCTCAAAGCATTCGATGAACTTAGCTATAATACATGACTTCTAAAAATGATTATTTAGGGTCAGCATTATCATTTGCTTAAGCCTAGGTGGGTAGAGTTATCCAGTACCTGCGCTGGTGGAGGTAGCAGATACTTGGTGAAGTATTTGAGGCACGAGCAAGATGGCCTGGTCACCACTGTTATCAAGAGAGCACGGACACCACCATTTCTTTTCACATGGTATCAGAGACTTCATTTACCTGAACTTGGCTCCCATGTTACCACGCTCTAATTGTCCAATCCTGGGTGTATAGGGGGTGTTAGAGTCTCACATCGGTGTGGGTAGGGTTTGTGTGCCTCATTAACAATCCTGACCGCATGAGCTAGCTTTTGGAGTTGACATAAGCCCAAGGTTCAAATCTTAACTTAGAGGTTGGAGATATGGAATGGTGCCTCAGAATGTCCATTCAATTCTAGCCAGCACCTGAATAATGCATGAGAATAGAAACTTCTCAGAACCCAAGGACTCTCGATGAACAAGTAGAGTGCTATTTCCCTTCACATCTTATTAGCCATGATTCATCAACTAAAGAAAAAAAAATGTTAGAAAAGAACATAGAAATAACACTTACTAGACTTCTCAATCTCTTTGTAAGTTGCAAATTGCCTCATTAGCTCTAGTAGTGCCCAATTCAATACCACAATGATGATATGTACAAATCCATTTCAACAATGACATCAAAAGTTCTTCAAGTACAAAATTCTGGTTTGGTGAAAATTAAAATTGTAACGAGTGGAGAGTTCTCTAACTTTGGGATAACTTTCAAGATGGACCAGCTAGCAATAGACAGTCTCCAACATGTCAATGTGGTCATCATATATTGACATGGTCAAGTTCAGACAATGTTTGATTCAATTGAATGGAGGAGCTCTTTAACTATTCTTAGTTTTGACATCCAGCAGAAGTTGGTCCCAATTTTTAAAGGCAAAATCCCAACCTGTATTCATAACATCATCAAACAATTTAATTGCAATTTGCTAGAAGTTCGGAACATAAATTTGAAACCAAATCTACAAAAGCAAAAAACTTAATATCAAGCAACTGTAGGGCAAAAGAAGATCTTACCCAATCACGGCAGAATGAGCGGCTATAGAATTTAGTCCAACTCTAGTAGAGGCAGTTGCAAGTTGAGATTGATCATTGAATCTTTGATAGTAATAACAATAAGCTGATACCAAATAGAAGGACACAAATGATTTGAGACAAATCTTTGAGTCTTTGATAGTTATAGAAGATAACAAGACACTAATGGCAAATAGAAGGAAAGAAAAGATTAACTGCAGATACTTTAGAGTTTGAAGAGTACAACATCAAACAAAAAATACCATGTAATATTCAGATTACTCAACTTATGAGACCCAAACTTCAATGTTTAGCATAATGTCTTTCCTTCTCACTGGTTTCATGGAGATGCTTTTAGAAAAGGTAAAATTCACCCGTATAACACAACTCTTTGATAACTTCGTGGAGATACTTAGAGCCTGTTTAGATTGGCTTAAAAGTTGGTTTAACCTACTTTTAAGTCATTTAGCTTTTGGGGAATGTTTGGCAAAGTTAAAAGTAACTTTAAAACGGGCTCTTACACAATATCTTTATGAACATTCTAGAAGCTCTTTTTATACAATCAAGTCATTATAAGTGAAACTTTATTCTTATGCAACCAATCATTTCAATCTAAGAGGATGGAAAAAGATAAAAGAAAATACTAATGGCATCTTGAAAACTATACAAGTATTATGGTTGATCTGAAGATAATGTATGAGCTTAACATACCTTCAAGATGCAAAATTTCTGATATTAAGATACCTCAGAAACCTCAATGCTTGGAACAATTCTTGGGAGTAGCTTAACTTGAGGCACTGAATTAGATTCATCGTTGCATGGAAGAGAAGCTATCTCATTTTCCAAAATGGAATAAGCATCCGCAAATGCCTACAGAAAGTAACTTTTATTAGAATAGTTATATGCAGCCAATATTCAATGATTATAATTTTTAGCGCGTGTTCTAATCCATTCAGTCAGTCCCAAAATAATCATAACTTAGGAACCAACTTAAACAATATGTCAAACAGAAGCACCCAAAGAAAATACCTAGAGTTTGTTACTTCAGGTTATATTAATTAAATGAAAAAGTAGAGTCACTTCGAGTCATCAAAGTACAGTAGTTCAAGCTATTCCTTAGCGATTGTTCATCTTCCATCACGTTAAAAGAACAAAGTATTTTTAGCTGACTTCTACATATTTGAGGTGTTAAAGAACTATATTGGTGGTTAATGAAATGGGTGGACTCCTTATAAGGCTTGGCAATCCTCCTCCTTTTTAGCTAGCTTTTAGGGTGTGAGTTAGGCCTAAGATAATGCGAGGCATAAGAGGATGTTATGGTCCCCTGATATGGATCTGGTTATGGGGCGTTGTAGTGTGAATCAAATGTGTTCTTCCTACAACCTATGGTGCTGGTTCTTTAAGAGAGAACCTGCGATCTCTTGAGTTTGAAGTACTCAAAAACTTAGTAATTTTCTGCTTAACATTTCATTGAATTCAAATAACTTAAATACAACATTGGTGATTAACCACCCACCTAATAACAAGGAAATAACTTCCCACTATTACTGAAATGAGAAAGTGGAGGAATAACCTCCTTACTGCAAATAAATACTACACAGAAAACAACTGCTACATGGAAAGGGAAATCACTGTTACAGAACATATTACAGAGAACAGAAAATACAGCTACTGATTTAATTTCCATGCATAAAACTGTTGGTAGACTAACAAGGTACTAACAGAGGAATTCATGCTTTTCACTTTTAACTGACGTATGCTACCTTTTCAATAAAAATACATCACATGTCATTCGAGAGATATAATACGAGATTTATGATTCAAGCTTTTACATATGCAAATTACTCCCGAAGTAGAGGAAGCACAGTGTTGGGATTGGAACTTAACAAATTAGTAGAATAGTGAAGTAAACAAACTGATAGAGGGCAGTCGGGCACCACCAAGAGTGGAGCCCAACGCTTAATTCACTTGCATCAACTGTATTAATATAATAAAAATTAACCAATGACAAATCAAAAGCTTCTTTAATCTACTGGTGATTGAGAGATATGTCTGGTTAATTCATTAACCAACACATCCCCGCTACTAGCCAGCCTAGAAGGAATTCCTTGTTGCCAACCTCTTAGGAGATTCAAATACATTTTATCCTATTGATTTTTAAAAGCTAAGAAACCCAAAATATCACAAGTTCTTCATTTTCACCAGACCGACAAGTTTTTCTAGTTCTACTAACATCGTGATGATGACATGAACTTATATTTCATGCTTACTATCCATAGTTCATAACAAATATTTTCTAGAAAATTTACTACAAGCAATTCTAACTAACCTTGATGCATTGGTGTATGCGAAAGCAGTTCCGCCCCACATTATTGGTTGGGTACAGAGGATCATCAATGCAAATTGGATCAATGCTACAAAGTAAAACCAGGGAATAAGAAGGAAGGATAATCATCACAAAAATGGAGCTAGAGATTTACAAGAAACAAAATCAGGAGGTTCAGCAATTTGTCACACCTGCACCCTCGTTCTCTATTTATGTATAAGCCGCTTCCCTGTATTGAGACACGTATTTGACGAGGATCAAACACATTCCTGACAACAAAAAGAAGGCTTTACATCTGCAATACCCTTTTTTGCATCTATTTTTTTAAAGGGAGCAGGGGTATCATAGTGGTTTGGACTTCAGAAATATGAGTCAACTAAAATGTGTGGCTGCTGCTTGTAAGAACCAAATATGAGATAAAATGTTTAAGGAAATACAAGCAGCTCAAACTCACCCAAAGAAGTAGAAAAAGTCCATCAGGAGGCTCCCCAAGTTCTACAAGATAAGATCAAAGTTACACTCAATAAAAGTGTTGTGCATCAGAAGAAAAAAATAAAAGAAGCTTAGTTCTAATTAATTGAAACAAAGTCAACTTCTTCCATAGAGGCACTGCAGCATATAACAAGCTCACCAAGTATAAAATTGTAGGAGCAACCCTATCATATGGCCTCTGTACAAGGCTATCCAACTAACCTGTCCACATAGCAGTTCTGTACAAGCAAAGAGCAGGAGGAGGTGGATTTTTTAATTTTACATTGAATATGCTAGCATTTAAGTTCTACATCTTTCGAGAGAAAGATCAGTATTTGTAGGAGCAACCCTATCATATGGCCTCTGTACAAGGCTATCCAACTAACCTGTCCACATAGCAGTTCTGTACAAGCAAAGAGCAGGAGGAGGTGATTTTTTAATTTTACATTGAATATGCTAGCATTTAAGTTCTACATCTTTCAAGAGAAAGATCAGTTTTGATTATTCAGGTACAATGTAATCCATTATTTATAGTCATGTAGGTAAGACAGCAGATGGGCTCTTTTATACATTTATCTTTCCCTAACATCTAATTTCTAAATGTCGTACCCCAATCCTTGTTCATATGAAGGCATCATAACAAATACATAAAAGTTCAGGGGCTCTGAAGCAGGGCCACTTATATTGCAAAACTTTCAGAGATGGCATGGGAAGTCTTTCATGAACTCGCTTTATATCTCTGACACGCAAGGAGGACGCGATGATCAGGAGAAGCAAAATGAAATTAGGATTTAAACGAAAAATAATAAAGCAAAAAACTAATATGCAATGTCAGAAAAGAATTTGAAAATGAGACTTGCAGCTGAAAGGTGAAGTAACTTCCATGTGATAACTCAGAAAGGTGGTCCATTCCACAAGTCTCTCATAGTGCATCAGACATGCACCTAAAGTTTCTGCTATTTGAACTTGTTGAAGTGTGTAACTATCTCATTTAAAAGCTTAAATTGTTAGAGGAGATAAGTTTCTGCTATTTGAACTTGTTGAAGTGTGTAACAATCTCATTTAAAAGCTTAAATTGTTAGAGGAGAGCATACTTTTAATAGATAATATATTCTCAACATGCCCCCTCACATGCGGGCCTGATTCTTTTTCATGGGTCAAGTATGTAGAAATTCTTTTTAATTTGGGTAGCGGTGAGATTCGATCACATGACCTCTGTCTGTTGTGATGCCATGAGAAGTTAGAAGAAGAAGAGATATTGGGAATTGAATTGATTGATCTCCCTCAAGTTGATGGATTAAATAGTTGTTACAGATAATGTAAATAAGGAAAGAAGATAGAAAATATTACACAATCTCCAAACTGCTTAATTAAAGGGATTAAGAGAATATTCTTATATGTAGATTATTTAATCATACCATATTTTAAATAATTTCATATCTACCAAATAGACCATAAATAACATTCCCCTCAAGCTGGAGCATAAAAGTCATATGTTCATAGCTTGCCACAAATATAGTTAATTCTAGATTCTTGGAGTGATTTTGTAAAAATATCCACCAGTTGATCTTTTGGGTTAACAAAACTTGTGATAAATCCAGACTCAATCTTCTCTCGAATGAAGTGACAATCTATCTCAATGTGCTTCATTCTTTCATGGAAAACTGCATTAGAAGGGATATGTAATGCAGCTTGGTTATCACAAATCAATGTCATCGGTTCAACTCCTCCTACCTTAAATTCTTGGAGAAGTTGTCTCAACCACATAAGCACACACGTTGCTAGTGCCATAGCTCGATATTCCGCCTCTGCACTTGATCTCGCTACGACAGCTTACTTTTTACTTTTACAAGCCTCATCATTATCTCATGTGTGCGGTAGATAACATCTTTAAGTGTGATCTCCAACCCTTCAGTTTCAGTAATTCCATTGAGTATTGAAGTTAAAAAGGCCAACCTCCTCACATAAGCCTTCCTTTTTACCTTGCTACATTATCTTAATTTTTAAAGGAGGAGAGAAAACCAAAAAGATGGAATTCACCTGCTCACTATAGCCTAAAATTAAACTATCAAGCTTAAACCCAAATATGAGAGAAACTCAACTGGCTAGGTTGTTCTGCTGCCACGAAATGTCTCCCTCCGCTTTGTTCTTTGCTGTTGGTGTTTATGGATGATATACACTAATGTCCCTTGTTTAAGCGATCATTTAGATTTTGTCCCTAATATTAAAATTTTGAGCAAATATCACCCTTGGGAAATTACCCTTCCGGACAACATCAGACTCGGGTCTAATTTGTTCATATGTTACAACAAAACACCACACTCATCTAATATTTGCAATAACATACAATATTTTAGACCATGAACGTTTTCTCATCAGATTTCAGTTAGCTCAAAAGAGATCTTTCAATTGTAGTCTAAAAGGCCCACAATCGAAAGAGGAATTAAAAGTGGTTCACTTTCTAAACAGATGTCCCAAATAACCGATGAAAATTTCACAGTATTTACCCAGAAAATCATCTTATGTCGGATCACAGGTTCTTCTTTATATTGTGAAAGGTCTTATGAATGTTTTCATCACAATATGAACAAACCAACAACAAAAACAATGGAGACATCCATCACAATCTATGTTGAACATGTCAGGCTTACTGATGATACCATTAACAATAAAACAGGGGTCAATCGCCAAAAATTAAATGTACAATAAAGAAAACAAAAAAGAAAAAGAAGGATTCAATCATACTTGATCAATTGGTCGACTGTGATGATGTTCATGCTGCAAAAACCGTGTGATCAATAGTACCTATTAAATGGTGAAGACATTTAAGAGACATTCAAACACATTAACATCAAGATCTAGAATGAAATCAAGGGAAGCAAAACATCAGAGGTAAGAATGCCAAGAATTGGAAGACAATTGAATAAGTTTCACTATTTCACTTTTGCTTGAAACAAATGGGTGAAAAGTTTGACAGATGACTAGATTGAATAGATAATGACCACAATGCAGATATTTCCACTTCCCAATGAACAAAATTTCTGTTTGACCTTGAGCTAGACTTAGAGACCACAATCTAATTTCCAGATATTTGCCTCATTCAAGAACTGAAAAATAATGAATCAAGATAGGGAACTCTATAGTCACTCCAGTCAGTATTTCTTGCAATATAATCTTAGATTCTAGAACTTCATCAGAATGCTAGTTAGAATAAGTGAGTCATCTCTTAATGGACTAAATGGATACATCAACCCACTCCTGAAATTCTAATTACATGTAAATCAAGGTAAGGACGTTTAATCTTCAGTCTTCACTGCTAGAATGAATCACTTGTGAGCATAAATATAACTTATGCTGGGAATTTAGGAAAAGGAAGAGAAAGGAGGGAAAATGGTAGTAAAAATAGAGGAGGAGAAAGCTAAGGCGATTTCTATTTACGAATGCATGGTTCAGATAGAAAACAAGAATGAAAAAGAAAATTGTTCGACTTATTTGTTGTCACTGATTTAAATTTCAGTCAAAGAAGAAAATGGTACTCTTTTATTTTCATCCCCTAATTGTTACAGTACCAAAGCAAGAGAAAAGAAAAATCTCTAAGTTGTTCCTTTCTTTCTTTTTTTGTCTCTTCTTTCCAAGCAAAGCATAAGTGTAGCCGACCAACCTCCATCTCTTTTGCTTGGTTTGAGTTGAAACATGGTATGAGTGAAAAATTGTTTGACTTATTTGTAACTGATTAAAATTTTGGGTGAAGATGAAAATGATTCTCTAATTTCTACAGCACCCAAGCAAGAAAAAGAACTCTTCAATCATTCATTTTCTCTGCTTTCTAAGCAAAGGAGTAGTCAGAAAATATCCTTCTTTTGCCTCAACTGCCCTCACTAATCCACACATAATAGAGTGTCAAGAAGGGAATGAAGCAGCTTAGCAAAGCAGTCAGTGCAGGAAATGAGTAGATGGCAGCAAAAGAAGTAGGTGCACTGTATATTCACCATTCATAAATCATAAGATTGAAGGCACTCATAAATATACCAACGTAGGTTATTTTTTGAAAAGTTGAACGGTCAATTGTGGGAGATGGCGGAAAGGCTAGATTTTGGAATGATAGATGACTTGGCAACTCTCCTGTTAAAGATATGTACGGCTCTCTTCAGCATCACCTCTTCCAAGACACTCTTACCTCAGATTTCAGACAAGAGCACTGTTGGCTTATCACTTTAGAGGAACTTAAATGATTAGGAAGCGGATGGACACCTAAGCCTTTTGAACTTACTCAGCAGCACTACCTCAGCCTCTTCTTCATCTGATGTATGATTTGAAAAGGTAAATCAGAGGGCACCTTCTCTTTAAAATCATGCTACTCGATTTCTACTCAAGTTTCATCTCAGAACACTCTCTGGCCATGGAAATCCACATGGAAAGGCATGGCTCCACTTAAGATCAAATCTCAAATGTTTCTCTTGGTTAGTGCCCAAAGTGACATGCCTCAAAGAAGAGGTAATGTAGCTATGTGAATCTGAAGAGGACAAATCCATCGCTTTCATTATTGTAAATTTACTGAAATCTGAAACGTTATTCTCAACATATTTGGCATTTTTGGTGTGCCCAAAACAACTCTACAGTTTTTCCCAGGATGACGGAGAAGAGTATGGAAGAGTGATGTATTTAAGCATAACCAAAAGAACAAACTTGAATATCAAGTAAGAAAATAGTATATAGACAACTGAAACACTTTTAGGTAACTCTACCAGATATTGATGCTGAGAAAGCTTACTAGACAATATGAACTTAAACCGCCTGAATATGACTGGTCAAGACTGCGATCTGCTAGGAACTGTTTTAGCACCAAAGCAAGAGGTGTGGTAGCAGGAAACTGTTCTGTGAGCTCTTTTACCTATCATCGATAATGGAAACACATCATACGATAAATCTACATGCATAACCAATGACAGGCTTGACATAACAAATATCTAAAGTGATAAAGATTAAGAGAATATAGTTCTGAATTTGATCCCACAAGTACTCAGATGCAATCTCTTCAACACATACCAGCTCTGTGGTCTGTAATCCTGTATGAGAAGGCGATTTGAAACTAATATCAAGTCGAACTGCTTTTACATCCTTCACACATTCATTCATCTTAGACCACTGTGGTGAAGATGAGGAATCCGAACAAGTCGAATCAGCCTGAAAAGTATTGCCTTCTTCAACAGTCAACTCAGTTGGTTCAGCTTTTGGTGTTTGTAAATTTGATAGAGACGACGAAATGAGGTCATGTGGAACTTCCACCACAAGCATTATAATTGGTATCTGTAGAAAAATGGAAGCAACATAGTATGGAACAATGACTAAGGAGGTCAAGGTACTTTTTTTGTGATAAAAGAGAGAAGGACAAAGGTATTGCGATTAACATAAAGAAAAACACAAAGCTGATGAGAACCCAGAAGGAAAAGGATTTTGGATTTCAGAGATATTACAGCAGTATTTTCCACGATCTTCAGAGAATCATTTTTTACCCACTCCTGGTTAGCCAGATATCTAGCTGCATGCTGCAAAGTGTTCTATGTCAGCAAGAAGGAGCTCCATTTAGAATAAGCTATATTTGTATCAAATTGGACAACCAAGGGTAAAACAAACTCAATATTCTTGTCTGGTACCCTTTTTTCCGTCCATTTTATAGGGACATGCTTCCCTTTTTAGTTTGTTCCAAAAATAATGACATATTTCTCTTTTCTGAACTATTTCATCTTCACATCCCCATTATACCTTAGTGACTTGTTGAGACCCACATGGTATAAAGTTCACTCTTTTATAAGATAGAAATTGAAAATACATGTGGAACTCTCACACTACTCATCTAAGACTGTGACTATATAGGCAGTTAGATATGCATAAAATGGGCCGTGGGAGTTGCACCCAAGAGTGTGGCCTAGGGAGCAAAGAAGTGGGTTGAAAACCATGAAGTTTTAAGTTTGAATCCCAGCAAAGACAAAACACTAGGTGATTTCTTCTTCTATGGATTTGCAGGTTGGGTTAGACTCAAGTGCCATATCTTTATATATATATATAGTATGATAGTCGGGGATGCTCATATCCCTGTTTGGGCTCCCAATCCATGCTCTAATTGGGCATAGGAGTGAAAGGGGAGGTGGTAGAGTGAGTTAGAGTACCCCATTGGTTGGGCAATGGATTGATGGTCTGCTAATAAAGACTCGAGAAATCCTCCTCTCATCAGCTAGCTGTTGGGGTTAAGTTAAGCCCATGTGTCTCTTCTTCTTTTTTTTGTGGGTGGGGTGGGTGGAGGTGGGGGCGGTTGAGGGTCATGAGGAAAATATTGGTTAATGATTAAAGAACAGCAAGAAGGTTCTCTCCTCTTCTTCTTTTTTTTAGGTCCCGTGCTTTAAGTTTACTCGCTCTTGTTTCACTTTTCAATTTGACCATCTTTCAAAGCTAAATTAGACTAGATTAATTAAATATTTTAAAATCACAATATACATATTCCAAACAATACAAAAAGCATTATAAGTTGCAACTTTTTTTCTCATATCAATATGGTGAAAAAATATATCTTAAATGTTGGTCAAAGAAATGTAGCACTCTCAAAAATGAAACATGACAAGTATTATAGGATGGAGGGAGTACAAAAAGATCATGTCTTTCAAAGCAAGCATAGCATTTCCTCCTTCAATTATTAGAGAAGAATATTCATGTGATCCTGAATACCTGAAGGCATGTTTCTTTGATCCCATTTCGCCCCTCTAAGATCCCAGCTTCTTTAATTGGTTCCTAGGGATGAAAGAAAAGAAAAGAATATAACATGATTTCCTTTCTCCAAGACTCTTTTTCTCCATACCTAAAGATATAACATAAGCACATATTATGCAAGACATGCTTACCAGATTCCTCACAGGAGGAAGAGAGACCACAAGGTCCACATCACTCGATGGGAGTGACAACCCAGTAGCGTTTGAACCAAAAATGTTTGTACGCGATCTAGGCCATAATACTTGTAGAGAACGTGCAACGCGCTTTACAGCCCAATTAATGTAAGGCTTCCTGATCAGATTCTCAGAGGCAACCTTGAATGTCATTACAGATAACCAACAATAAGCATCACATTGCCGGATTTTTTATCCTCAAAATCTGGTAAAATTACTGAAATGATACTGCAGAAGCTACTACTCTCTTGGGACTCTACCTGTTTACAGAAGTTCTCAATTTCATTGTGAAGGCGACTATGGATCATTGAGAGACATGCCTTCTTTGCAGTAGAGTTCAGCGTTTCGGGAGGTTGAAGTGGGAACGCAACATCTGGCTGGAAAAGAAAAAGAATGAACAAAAGTAGCTTTCCACTCAAGCAGACAGAAACATGTGAATAAAGGAGTTATGAAACTGCAAACCGGATTCTCAGATTTGAAATTTACATGTTCTTGATCGCGAGTTAACTGTGAAATTGCGATTAGGCGGTCCTGCAGCAAAGCTCCAGGTAGAGGTTGCGTTAACTGATGGGCTGAGAGACTTTTACTCCTCCAAGCAGGCCAAACTACTTCACTACCATCCATGCGTATACAGGCTTCTTCAAAATTAATTCCATCATGGAACCAACCTTTGACACCCCACTGCCTAGGGCTGGAGCTACCAGACCGAACTGTTGGAAAACCTCTGTGCCTTCTAGAATCACCAACTGGAGAAGGAGGAGGCGGATGAGGAGCACGTGGAACACAGAGGACAACAGGTGATGGAGGCCTCTTGATCCTAGGTTGCTCCCGCCTACTGGGAGGAACACAAGGACTTTTATGATCATGACTGCGCTTAAAATCTGATCTTGATCTCTCCCGAGACATACTGGGAATGACAATGGGTCGTAAAATGGGGTATGCGAGTGAATCCACAGACTTTGCTTCAACTTCAGCGGGCAAACTGGACAAGGATCCTGAAGCATTCTCTACTGTCACTAGATCTGCTGATGATGATGACTGCAGAACCTTGCTGGTAATCTCACTTCCTGGTATAACATAACCAACAGCCTGATGTCCTGAACCTAAAGCATCGAATGGAGAGCAAAAGGAAGCACCAGAAGGAGAAGTCAAACCATTTGTACTGTAGGAAGAAGAGAAGGCAACCATATCATCAACTGCCCTATTCATGTCTGCGTCCCTCCATGCCCATGAGCTATCATCCGAGCTAAGAGAGGGAGGACGTGAAAAATTAGTACCAAGATGATCAGAAGGATTCCAATACATAACACCACCTCCAAAGTACTGATTATAGTCCACCCCGGAAACAGCATGTACCTCTAACTCTTCTTCAGACATCCAGTGATAATCATGGTCTTCACCCACTTCATGTGAATTTGCAAGATCGGAGAAGTCCATTAAGTCACCAGAATACACCCTTTCATCCTCAGTACTCACCACATTGCAGTGCATGCTTTGAGCTGCTATATCTTGCTGGAAAGACGTTCTCCTAGATATAAACCCAGCATCATAATTGCATGTAACTGATGGAGCAGCTAGTCTATTGATACTGCGCACCATTGGGGGCCAATCTAAACTCATTGGCAAAGGTCCAGATATGATTCCAGGGCATCCTGTTTCAATTGAAGAATTTCTTACATGGCGTACGTTGCGTAGAAAAGAATGACGAAAATGACTTTTCCAGTTGCGACTGACATCAAGGTGCAATCTATCAGTAGCCCGTGGGAGATGTGAATCACCGCATGGAAGATGAACAGGAGCTACACTGGGCCACTCATACGAAACATAAGATGGAGAATTCATCGGCCCTGTATCATAAACATCAACACTTCCTTTCTCCTGTAACGAGGTCAAATTTGTGTTGGCATCACCAACTTCAATTTTCTGCTCAAGAAAACCTGCTCTGTTCAATTTTTTGAACTCCTTGCCGTTTGAAAGAGTGCGTCCAGATTCAATCGCAGGCATTACAGAAGATATAGCAGAATCGCCTTCCCTATTGGTAGTTTCCACTGCAACAGCTACCGTTCCATTTTCCATCACTCCCTCTTTGGGCAAATGGTCTGTCAAACAAGGATTCCTGTAACCTTCAAAAGAACCAGCAGAACCAGAATCCCTACTGCTTCGACTCAGAATGCTCATTTCTGGTTCACGTTTCTCATTGTCAATACAAGAATCTTTTGATCCGCTTTGAACAACCGAATCTATTAAAGTGACACAATCAGAACTTGGATCCCTACCTCGGGAGTTGACAGAAATAAAGGACTTCTGAGAATTTCTTTTCGGACATTTACCATCTTCCCCAGAAGTTATCAAGCTAGGGTTCTTAATCTTGTTTCTTTCTTTCCTTTTCTTCCTTGAAGCACTTCTAACAGTTTGATTATCTGGTCCTTCACCCTGTCCATGCAGACAGTCAGTCAGTTACAAACTATTTACAACATAACTTGGATATCTGATACATAGTAGAAAGAGAAGATAATTACAACCATATCGATCAAAGATGGAAGACTCTCTTTAACATGATCCTTCTGCTGTTCTCTGTTGACCGATCCACTGGGCAAACTACTATGTACATTATCGCCACAAAATTTATCGACCAAACCAGTAGACGAACTATTATATACATTATCACAACGCATGGATGTGTCTCCCTTGTCCTGCATATTATTTTAAAAGAAAGTAAGGGAACACATGGTATAGATTTTTTTTTCTTCTTTCTAAAGGAAATTTCTATGGGAAGTCTTCAAGATCAGAGTTGTACCTCAGTGCTTTTAGCAGGCCTCAAACCATCTGTTTTAGGTTTTGGCAAAGAATTTGATTTCTTCACCTTACGGTTTTTCCCTTTTTTCTTACGGTTCGAAGCACCAAGTATCTCTTTGTTTTGCTTTGGTAAGGAATTCAAGTTTTCGTCCTCTAGTAGCTCATACTTTGTACAGTCAAGAGAAATAATCATGAGTAACCCCCGTAATTTTCTTAATATACAATCAGAAAGAGTATTAACAGATTCAAATGAACTAAAGAATAATTTTTCACTATCAGGAGGCTCGCAAACAGAATGTGGACATGCCAACAGCACAGTGGAGATATCCTCAAGCATAAACAAACAATCAAGTAACTGGTTGAATGAACACGAGACTCCAAACACTGATGCATGATGCATGCTCTTTTTTGCAACTCTTGCATCTGACACACTGAGATTCATAAAGTTTCTTCGATCAGACAAAGTAGGATTACCCCTCAGAGGTTGTTCTAGTGTTGAACTGCATAGCCAAGTTTTATCCGCTGAAACACCTCTTGCCCCTTTCAAAGTGTCAGTAATCTGAAAGATATAATTGGAGATTGGACAGCATAAGCCTGTGTCAAACTCTAATGAGCACCTATTAAATATGCAGGAAGAATAGATGACTCTTCCAGCAATAAGAAGATTAAACAGCTGAACTCCTTACATCTCAATCATTTGATTGACATTGTCAGGCAGTACAGGAGTACAATAAGACACATACTAGGAGATATCATTAATGTAATTGTTGCTATTTGTGAAAAAATATGACTTATGGGAAGTATATCAAATCAAAATCAAACAATTATAGGTGGTATGTTATCTAAAATCAATTGCTGCTTTAACATACACGAACAGGAGCAAATATGCTGGGTTTACTGTTTTGCGCTGCTTCTTTCTTTTTCTTCTTCTTGTTTTTTTATTTTATTTTATTTGAGAAATAATGTGGACATGCTGTTTAGAGGTAACTAGAGGAAAAGAGTAGCATATTTTATATTTCAAGTAATTTATAAGGCTTCCCTGGGGGAAAATATAGTTTAACAGTGAAAAAGATGTTATTAAAGATTCAAATAGCCATCAGTAACCAAACACATAGTCACTGACATGCTATGACCACCTAAGTTCTCAGACTCGTGTGCGGATGTCCAGTCCAAGTGTGAATCTAGAGGTATGGTCCTCTAAGATTTAACTTTTAAGATTTGGGAATACGGATCCATGTATGGATACAGGAGCGGTGATAAGGCTAAAATTCAAATATCTAAAATAGAGTGATAAAAGCTAAATTATGAGATATTATGTGGAAAACTTAAGATAGAGAAAAGGAAAGGGAGTGAAAATAGAAATTTATATATATACAAGGTATTCCATTTTCTTCAATTTACCTTTGTTTTTATTTTGATTACATAAATCATTGAATTTGTCCAGAATTTCTCCCTCGAATTTGGTCACAGTACCCAAAACCAGTTGACCGAATCAGGTACGGATCCCCCCAACACACACAGGAGCGGCACCAAAAGTGAATAGTTTGAGCAACTTAGATGACCACAGGACTACTTTAGAAAGAAGAGAGATTTATTTGAAAGGGATGTACATACATAGGGATAGGGTACCTAAAAATCTAAATTCACCAGTAACCAAACACATATTCACTAACATGCTATGACCACCAAAGTTTTGGACTCGGGTGTGAATGTCCCGTACAGGTGTGAATTTAGAGGTAGGGTCCTCTAAGATCTAAATTTTAAGATTTAGGGACACAGATCCATGTATGGATACAGGTGCGGGGATAAGGCTAAAATAATTCAAATATCTAAAAATACAGGGATGAAACCAAAATTATGAGATATTATGTGGAAAACTTAAGGAGAAAATATTGATCAAATATGGAGAATATTCAGCAGCCTTAGGAAGATCACTTGGGTGAAACCATGAAACATAGTACAACTTCTAAATTGTTGGATCATGTGGGCAATACTACAATTAAGGAGGAGAGATGGAAGATTGTCCCAGCTGGTATATGGTGGACAGTGTGGAAAGAAAGGAATCAAAGATGTTTTGAGCAAGAAGAACAATTTGAAAAAATTTCAAGATGAATGCTCTTTATTATTTTTGGTGTAAACAGAAAGTTTTAGTACAGGCAGAAGAACTTTTTGATGTTTTAGACTATTTGTGACAAACAACACAGATGGAGTCATCCATCTGTGTAGTTTGAATACTTTTGGAAGGGGGGCTGCTTTGATGTAGTATACCAGTGGATAAACAGAAGAAAAAGTTGCCATTCCAAAAAAAATATTGATCAAGAGGAGAATCCTCTAAGGAGATAAAAGGGAAGGGAGTGAAAATCGAAATTTATATATACAAAGGTATTCCATTTTCTTCAATTTACCTTCGTTTTTGTTTTGATTACATAAATCATTGAATTTGTCCAGAATTTCTCCATCGAATTTGTTCAAAGTACCCAAAACTAGTTGACAGAATCGAGTACGGATTTCACACCCACACCCCAGCACCAAAAGTGAAGAGTCCGAGCAACTTAATGACCACAGGACTACTTTAAAAAGAAGAGAGATATTATTTAAGATGGATGTACATAGATAGGGATAGGGTACCTAAAAAATATAAATCTACCAGTAACCAAACACATATTCATCGACATGGCTCTGACCACCTAAGTTTCGGACTCGGGTTCGTATGTCCGGTACAGGAGGAATCTAGAGGTAGGGTCCTCTAAGATCTAAATTTTAAGATCTGGAATACGGATCCATGTATGGACACAGGCAGGGGCATAGGCACATGTATGTCAGGGTGTCAAATTGGACAACCTTTGTCGGAAAAAAATACAGCATATACAAGTAAAATGATACATGAGGTGATTAAATAGCATATATTGGACACCCTTGACATAATAGGTTATTATAACCTAGTGGTTTAAGATGTCTTGAATGTTTGTTTAGACACCTTTAACGAGCAGTGAGCTAGTGCTCGCATGTTCAAATCTCACCACCAACAATTTTTTTCCTTTTTAAAAAGAGATTTTATTGTTTAATTTTTCGACCCTCTTCGTGAAATTCCTAGCTCCGTCACTAGATACAGATGCGGGGATAAGGCTAAAATAATTCAAATATCTAAAAAATTTGGACCCTCTTCGTGAAATTCCTAGCTTCGCCACAGGATACAGGTGCGGGGATAAGGCTAAAATAATTCAAATATCTAAAAATAGAGGGATGAAACCTAAATTATGAGATATTATATGGAAAACTTAAGGAGAAAATATTGATCAAGAGAACAATCTTGTAAGGAGATAAAAGGAAAGGGAGTGAACATAGAAATGTATATACACAAGGTATTCCATTTTCTAACACCTTAGTTTTTATTTTGATTAAATAAATCATTGAATTTGTCCAGAATTTCTCCATCGAATTTGGTCAAAGTACCCAAAACCAATTGACTGAATCAAGTATGGATCCCACACCCACACGACACGAGGGGCGGCACCAAAAATGAAGAGTCCGAGCTACTTTAGATGACCACAGGACTACTTTAGAAAGAAGAGAGACATTATTTAAAAGGGATGTACATACATAGGTATAGGGTACCTAAAAATCTAAATCAGTTATAGTTTGAATTGACTCAACCAATTGATAAAGCATGAGAAAAAGAAACAACAGCGTGAACCTACTATTCAATTCTATGAAAAGGTAGAGACACATCTTAGTTAAGAAGTTGCATGATTTGATAATTTAGTTAATTATCATGAATGCCTGCAGTTCATACTCTCTTTTGCTTTTCCAAATCAAATAGGCCTCCTCAACATTATCTTTAAATTTCCTTTATTACATCTGAGCTAATTTTTGGATACAGATTTTAGCCTACTTGCAAATCTTAGCCACTTGTTGTTTAGATAGATTCCCGAGGATTCTAAAATGTGTACTTCCCATTTAACAAGCTATTTACTATTCCAAAATGTCTCATTATCTCTTTCCTATTAGGGGGAAAGTTCAGCTTTTTAACATCCATGAATGAAAATGCCACCACATACACAAATTGAAACATATTGTAATCTCATTGAATGAACTCGTAGCACATTAAACAGCAATGTAGCACCAAATAACAAACATAGAACAATCTGCTAGTCAAGAAAAACGCTCAAATATAAAGAAGTACCAGTGATTTTGCTGCCTTCCCTAAGCCATTACGAAGAATCTTGACCCTTGTTGCCTCATCTAACTTACCCCACCAGTCTACACACCCTTTCTTCCTCCAAAATGCATTTGCCCCTACACCTACAGAATTCACCTTATCTTTCAGCTTTACACCTCTCTTTTTCCCATTATTATGATTCAACCATGCCAATCGTAACGCCACCTCCAACCTATTCGCCACAAAAGCCTCGATGCTATAATAACCCTTCTCTTTCAACCACCCCAATTCCACCCATTCTGAGCTCAACCCACTTTCTTCCCCTCTCAAAAACTTCCTATTCGTAACACCATCCATTGCATTCACAAAAGTATCCACATTTCCAACAAATTCCTCACTTACAGTCAAAGCATCAACAAAATCCAACAAACCCGAAACCCCATTTTCCCCTTCTCCTTCTTTCGAGTTGAAAATCCGTACAGACTGACGAACTCGCCTTTCTGACTCATTGGACTCCGCAACTCGAGCTAATAACCCATGAGACTTCCTGAAACAAACGCTTGGAAGATCAGAACCATCTGAAGGCATGTCAGGTAGGATGAAGAAAAACCCATGACCATTGGATTGAAGTTTACCAAGCATTTGCAACAGGATTTGAACGAAATTCGAGTGAACAATTGTGAGATGAGCTTGGCGTTGAGGAATCGAAAGGGAAGAGAACCATTTGATCAGCGATGATCTAGGGTTAGGGTTATGATTAGGAAATGGAGGTTTTTGTGAATTGTAGAGAGAAATGTGAGATGTGAGGGAATCAAAAAGCTGCTGTCTTGAATTGTTCATAGATTTTTGGGGCAAAGGCGAACTAAAGTTCGATTTTTTCATTTTTTTTTCTTCAGGTGAATTTTGTGAAGATTCTCAGGTGGTTGCAGTAGCAGTAGCAGCGATGATCATGTAGAAGACGATAATCAAAGCAACAATCGCGGTTCATGTGAAGAGATTATTCCGTATTTGCTGACCTTTGTTTCGTATTTATACTGAAAAAAACTACAAGGGCCAAAAGGAAGTAAATTTCTTATGCTTTCACTTGGAATTCTTCTGAAATTAAATTTTTACTAAATATTATCCAAACAATTCAAATACAGAAAGTTTGGTAAGAAGAAGCTAAAAGAAGAGGTTTTATTTTTAATTTTTAATTTTTTTTTAATTATGTTCTAGAGAAAATCTTCAATTTAAATGAAAATTAATGATAGTTGAAAACTAATGAAAAAAAATTATGGCGTTGGCGACTAGATTAACGTGTACTCTCTCAACTAATTTATGGTTAGACCTGCGAGCGTGATAATAAATTAGTCTCGCATTATATTGGAATTGATGTTCAAATTCGAAATCTTTACGTTGTTTCTTTTGTGATTGGATTTTTCCTTTACGACAATGATTTAGATTGTTATAATTTGCAAACACGACATCAAGTAATCTAGTGATAAAGACAGTATCGATTATGCTCGCTTTATATTGGAATTAACATTCAGATTCAAAATCTCCACATTATTTTTATGATTGGATCTTCCCTTTACGATAATGATTTATGTATAGACTGTTATAATCTGCAAGCGAATATCAAGTAATCTAGCGATAAAGACGGTGACGAATTAGATTCGCATTATATTGGAATTGACATTCAAATTCAAAATCTTCACATTTTTGTTTTTATGACTGAATCTTCCCTTTATGATAATGATATATGGATATAATGTTATAATCTGCAAGCGTTATATCAAGTAATCTAGTGATAAAGGCGGGGACGGATTAAGCTCACATTATATTGAAATTGACATTCAGATTCAAAATCTTTATGTTGTTATTTTATGAATAAATCTTCCCTATACGATAATGATGTTTATCTGCAAGCACGTTATCAAGTAATCTAGCGATAAAGACGGGGACGGATTAGGTTCGCATTATATAGGAATTGACATTCAAATTTGAAATCTTCACGTTGTTGTTTTTATGATTGAATCTTCCCTTTTTGATAATGATTTATGGATAGACTGTTATAATCTGCAAGCATTGTATCAAGTAATCTAGCGATAAAGACGGGAATAGATTAGACTCACATTATATCGAAATTGACATTTAGATTTTCAAAATCTTCACGTTGTTGTTTTTATGACTAAATCTTCCTTTTACGACAATGATTTATGGATAGACTCATATAGTCTGCAATCGCGATATCTAGTTATCTAGTGATAAAAAGAGGGACGAATAGGCTCACATTATATTAAATTGACATTCAGATTCAAAATATCCACGTTGTTGTTTTTATGACTGGATCTTCCCTTTACGATAATTATTTGTGGGTAGACTGTTATAATGTGCAAGCGCGATATCAAGTAATCTAGTGATAATACAGGGTCGGATTATGCTTGCTTTAATTGAAATTGACATTCAGATTTAAAATCTTCACGTTGTTATTTTTGTGACTGAATCTTTCCTTAACGATAATGATTTATGGATAGATTGTTATAATGTGCAAGTGCGGTATCAAATAATTTAGCGATAAAGACGGGGACGGATTAGGCTCTCATTATATAGAAATTGTCATTCAGATTCAAAATCTTCACGTTATTTTTATGACTGAATCTTTCCTTTATGATAATGTAACCATTAAAGTTAGATAAGTAGTATTGTATTATTGTTTTATGTTATTGAAGTTAGAAATAATTTTTTGCTTTTGAAAAAGTGAGATTACGTGAGTATATATTTGTCGTATAGAACTTATTTTAGATTTGACGTCGAAAGTAAAGAAATATAATAAAATTGGGATTGATGGGGTAGGTAACAAAAGCGCAAACAAGTTGATATTTAAAGTCTTCGAGGAACTATCGTCAAAATTTGGTTTCAAATTATTTTTTAGAATTATAATAAAATATTTTTACAGAACATAATTGTTATATAAAAAAGTTCGATGATCGTAAAATGTAAAGCTATATTCAGATACTTAAGAAATTTGTTGCAACCAATAGAATCCTTTATTCATGAAGCAGAAGTAATTTGTTTAGTATTACAACCATCGCAAGTATCATTTCTAATATATCGATAAGGCAGGCTCGGATACACAGAGTATATCATAGACACTTAAAAAATTGTTGGACACATGAAAATCTCTTACAACCAATACAATCTTTTATTCATGAAGAATTTGTCTAGAATTACAACCATCACAAGTATCATTTTAATATATTGATGAGGCAGACTCAGACACATTGAGTACATCACATATATCATATCTTTACTGAATATAAAATTGGATATATATGTTTTAAAATGTTAAAAAATTACGATCTCAACACTATAAAATGAACCAATAAGTTATCATAATTTTCTAAGTCTCCCTCCTTCTGGATTGGTTTATAAGATATGAGAAGCCAAAATACTTTGATATCTTTTTATTGGAAAAGAAAACTATCTTCTTCCTTTTTCAAATATTACTTGAACTAGGTGAAAATTTTCGAAAACACTAGGAGGTTTCAAGTATGTAACATTGTGCACAAGATAACACAAGCAAAATACTAGAAGTCGATGTCAAATCTCGTGTATAAGCAAAAACAGAACTACATGAGACACATTTATATGAGATAATTGTTGTTTCACTAAAGCAGCTGCAATGAAAGTTTGGTGGATATAATTGCCTGGAATACATACTGGTATAAGGTAATATGCAATTACTGGAATAATTGAGTTGCACACAAGTTGATCCAGACACCATCATTATCAAAAAAAAGAAAAAATAGCAGAGAAAAATGAGTTACTGGCAAACTGAAAAAATATTCATGACTAGGGAGACAAAGTGTTGCCTTCTTAATTTGAAAGTTGTGTTGTTTGAAAAGAGATGAGATGAGACCACAAATCAACATCCCAAAATCAATAGCAAAACAAGAAATGCAGGCCTTCTCACCCTCTAGGCGAATCCAAAACCATCAAATAAAATATAACAGTTGGATAAAAAGATTAAGAATGTTTTAGATCTGCATATATCTCAAAGAGTCCGGAGAAGGCCTGAACACCACCACTTCACCTACATATTCAAAATGTTATTCACTTTTTCCAAAAGATAAAGTTTAACTACATTTATAAAACCTTCTTGTGGTCTTGCCTACCACTCATTAATTTATTGAACAATTAATGACTTTAATCAGCCAATTTCCCATCTAATCCAGAATGGGCAGCGCAATCTGATGACACTACTTCACTATTTGAAACTGAAACAGCTGCATCCAATGCTGCTGATGTAGAAGACACATCCCCGCTAGTGCCAAACCTCAATGGCTCTTCAACAGACATAACTTTTTTCTCAACTTCTAAGTTCACATTTTCATGTTTATTATCAATGTTCTCTTCAGGTTTAGACTCTGTGCTCGGTAAAACCGGAAGGTCACAATTTCTGCCATCCTCCGCAGCCGCATTCTCACTTGTTTCTTCTGATACTGAACCTTGTAATTTGGAACCTTGGTTGTCCTGAGCTAATAAATCTGAAGGTGGAGAAAATGCTGAAGCGACTGCTGCTCCAATACCTAATAATTGATCTTGAGGGATAGCCAAAGTGGCTGCTGCTCCAATACCTAATAATTGATCTTGAGGGATAGCAGAAAGGGCTTGTTGAGTCAAAATACCCAGTATTTCATGAAGATTGTGCTGATGACCTTGAGGAGCGACAGAAGTTGATGCACCAGAATTAGGTTGGCATAGTGCCTGAAGTGCTGGGTAAAGAGCCTGCAAAGCAGGGTATAATGCTTGGAGAGCAGCTTGTCCAACCATTGCTTGTTGGCCTTGGAAGTCCTTAACATTTGAAAGGTGTTTCCTTCCTGCCAGATGGCTTTGGAAAACAACTACTGATTCACACTTTACATTACAGAGTTCACATATTAAGGGAACCATTTTTTGGGGCTTAGGAGGCACAGCAGGTTTTCTTGAGCCATTCTGTGTCTTCATCAATTTACTGCCTCGTCCACCTCTTAGATTGCGCTTGACTCCACGCCCTTGACCTTGAATATGATCCAAAGGATCTGTCTCTTCAACCTTTTGTTTTCCGGTAATACCGACATCTTCCTCTATAACAGATTGAGGAGGAAGCTTCTCTTGGGGCAGAGGCTGTCTGTCTCCAGTTACAGTTTCAGAAGGCAAATGCCCCAGCGGCAGCTGCCCAGATCCCTCAACTGCAGGCTGGTAAGAAATCCTTGGCTTAACTTCAGAATTTATTGTCTGGTTACCATGTGCTCCATCCATCTGTTTGTTCAGTTTCTGTCGCTCTTCATAGGCTTTCAGGTTCTTTTTATGTTTCTTTCCATTCTTATGCTGTTCAAGAACTTCAGGTGTGTTGCATTCAATCCTACAGAGTTCGCACCAAGCCATACGAGGTGGACGGACAGGAGCTGAATTACCTGAGGCAGATGATGAAGGTTTAACTTGGGATAGGCCACCTTGGATCTGTGATGCTCCTTGAAAAACTTTTGGTTGGTTCTCAGCATATGTTGGTAATGTGTAGATAGGTTGTAGTTGCCCACCACCAAGATGGCCATGAGCACCTCCTCTATAGGGCCTGCCACCCCTTTTACCTTTACCTTTATATGGAGATGGTGTGATCTGCAGAATGCAAATATGTTCAAAGATTTGGAATATTCTATACATCAACGGATCAGCTGGAGAGCGTAATGCTGATACCAAGTCAAAACAGTAATATATACACCAAAAGAACCAATCTCGTCATCTTAAATAGGTCAACACAACAAAATTAGACAAAAAGCAAATCAGCACACAATTGTATGAGCAGCAGAAGACATGAAGTAACTTAGCATAGCTGAAGGAATGGTAGAGAAGTTGGCAAAACGAACAAACAGAATCAGTATTACAGAAGGCAGGCTCCTCCATGATGTAAAACCAATTAATACAAGTCGAGTATTGGAAGAGAAAAGAAGTCTATAATAGTAGCAAGTATAAATTCATTGGCACCATAAGAAAAGACTCGACTGACTGCAGGGACTTTATGTCTAGGTGTTAAACACTTGACATAGTAATGGGATAAGCAAAGAGAGCTCATGCATGCA